ATTTGTTCATTCATGAATGTTTTTGATTCCCTATGTAATCTTACAATGCAAGTCCTTGGATTATACACAAATGCACAGATGAAAAGCGATCCTGTATATAAGGAAAAATGAGGTACCATCCAATTCCACTGCCCACCCAAGATCCCTTAGGGAATCAAGAGGTAAAAACAACTAGCTCCACATTTCTCAATTTAACCTAGCTTTACAAATCTTGACAGATTTGTGTAGATTATGCAGCCAAAATTTGTCTGAAATAATTTTATAAACGTGATAGTGTGAGCAGTTGAATATATCTGTATTGTCCTCTAGGATGCTATTTGGGCTGGTTCCAGACAAAGCTGTGATGTGAAATGAGAAGATAGTGTATTGGTGTGTACTGTCCTCCATTGCCTGTTAGGTAATTTTCCTAGGTGATTCAGTGTTTGTTCTCTTTCTTTTCTACCCTTCCTGTCCTGCTTTTCTGGTTATCAATGATTGCATAACAAACCACACCACAACTTAGTGGATTAAAACAATAACGTATTGTTATCTCTTACGATTCTGTGAGTTTATTGGGTCTAACTGGTTGATTCTCATTTGCAGTCTTATATATGGTTATGGGCAGATGTCAGCTGAGGCTGTAGCCATCTATGTCTGTACTACCTGGTTACCCAAAATGACTCATTGACACAGTTGGTAACTGATGCAGGTTGTCAGCTGGGAGCCCAGATGGAACTGTTGAGCAGAGCACATATTCTTGCCCTCTCTGTGTTGCTTGGCCTTATAGCCATGCTACCTTATAGGAAACTGAAAATAATATAGGTTAACCTGTTAATAACTTTTGGGGTATTGCCTAACATTGGTAAAATACTTGTCTTCCAGTAATTTTCTTATGGTAAATGATTTAATTCAAAATAATTATTTAAAGAGAGAAATTTGGGGAAATTTCAAAATGTCCCACAAATGGCAAATGGCTGCTTAAAGGTCATATAGTAAATTCATCGATACACATATAGTAACTCATTTAATCTTCACAGCAATCCTATGAATTAGACATTATTTGTATATCCATTTTACGGGTAAAGAAATAATACTTAGAGGCAGTAAAGGTCTTGACAAATGTTTCATGACTATTAAGAATTTCTTGGATTTCTTCCCAGATGTGTATGATATTCAGTAGTTGCTCTCGACCACAAAGAATGCTGCCTCCCAGGCTTACAAAATCTGTCTCCATTCCTAAGAATACAGAAACGTTCTGAACTTCTTTTTCTTCTAGTGTTTCACAAGCCATTAAACATTCATCATTTTGTGATATTATCAAATAAGATACAAAACATAATTGGCCTTAACTCATCCTGCCACTTATCATTGACACAGTGGGCTTTATAACAGTGGGATGGGGAAAAGAGTGTAATAGATTGATTAACTTTATTGTTTTGTCAACATACATATATGTATGGACAAACACACCACACACACACACACACACACACACACACACACACACACAAACACTTTTAAGAAAACAATAAGCAGAACCTTTAAATTTGGAGTCTGTCAAATTGTCCTGCTTCAGTCAGAGAAGAAGTATCTCTATTTTACTCAAATTGCACACCTACTATACTTTGGACAAGGGCTCAAAATTAGACTCAAGTGGAACTAAAAGTAGTCTCACGTATGATGTTTCCCTATTAAAATGTACGAGGGAAGAAATAAAAGAAATACAACAAAAGATTTCAAACATGTGCAGAATCTTTGTCTGAACTTACAGGAAATTCTCAGTTCTATTGATATCGCATATATTTATTATTGTCTGGAAGCATCTCCTGAGGTTTACTCTCTTCTCATTCTCAGTCCATATGGTTTAGGTGCAGGTGACCCATCCTTCAGTTCTAGCAGTGAAACATAACCTGGAACTTTCCAAAAGAATGACTGTTTTCATGGCTCCAATAATTGATTCAGAGATAGTCATGTGACAAAATCCCAACAATCAGTCCTCACAAGGACTTTGCAAGAACTCCTAGGTTAAAAGCACTCCTTCTTTGCTCTGAGAAAGCTAGTTATGGGAATGATGTAAGCTCATGCCTACTCTGGGCTATCCTCCCATCCTGGCATGCATGCCTTTTGCAATGCACTTTGCTACTTCTTCTACCAAGAGATAAAATCTTTAAAAAATATGTAGAAAGAGTCTGCCTGTTAATAAATTCATTAGGAGTAAAGCAAAAAGAGATACAAAGAAAGAGGGAGACAAAGAAATTGAGAGAACTAATAGCTTCATTTAAGGTCCTTGATCAAGCCAGGCATGAAGTCCATCCTTGGATTTCATAGATACATGAGTAGATAAGATCTATTTTCACTTAAACTATTTGAAATGAAGTTTCTATCTTATGTGCCCCAACATATCTTGGCTTACTCTCCTAATCATGTGTTCTTACCAACTCAACTTAAAATTGCATAATTCTTAAAAACCTGGAAATAACGAAATATTTGAGATAAGCTTCAAGCAGTAATTACTATCTATATATGCATTAACTATTAAGTGCAATATTTAATATTAATATATAACACATGAGTAACATTAAAACTTATATATTTGTAGATATAAATTAAAAGATATGATTCTCTATTTTTCCTGATATTAACAGATGTATTAATATGTAATTCATGGATAACTTTTAAAATTTGTTTAATATATATTTATATATATGTATGATTCTCTATTATTTTCCTGATATTAGCAGATTAATAAACTTTATAGCTAATATCTGTACATTCCAAGCTCATATTATTTGTAGTTAATGTATGCTCAACTTCTTGACCCATCCTCAACTCTTGAAATACACATAAATTATGGAAATTCATACTTTGCCTACTACTTCACATATATTAATTACAGCTTTCTACAGTTTTTTGATTCTTCAATGCCTTTACACATATTCAGTCATTCAACAAACATGCATTGAGTATACTTTTAAATGTTTATTGAGTATGTATCAGACACAATTCAAGGTACTAGAAACATCTTAGTGAGTAAGGTATATGAAGTCCATTTCTCACAGAGCTTGTTTTATTGGGGGTGAGAAACAATAAGGAAATAAATAATTAAATAACATAACTTAT